TCTACTGATGAAATAACACATATCATGTGATTTCTATATTCAGCTTTTTTTCAATTTTGGTAAAGTTTGTGGCCTCAATGTTAAGAGGAGTGGTTGCACATCATAGTGACGTGGCCTGAGGAGGGAAAGACCTACCTCGGCTGATTTCTAATATCCTGTGGCGACTGCAGCAGGATTCCAAGTTACACAGTTGCATAAGGAAAGTCCTCAGTTTTCCACAGACCCCCCAATGTTTCTGCAGAAAATCACAGGAAATATTTCTCTGCTACTGTAGCGTGTGCATGATACAAATGAAAAAGGAAGCATTAACATAAAACAAACACACATTTCTTTTCTCTCTCTCTTTAAAGGTCAATGTGGGGTGTCAAAAATGTCACACCAAGATAAATCTTACCACGGCACGCTGCACACCACCGACAAAAAAAATTGTTGTGTAATTGTATCTTTATTTCAGACAAGCTTGCATGCACAAAAAAGAGCAATTTAAGGCACTAAACACATCATTCTACAAAAGGTTTTAAATATTTTCCAAGACTGTGCTGTTAAAATACTTAGTTTCGCTCTCTGGTTCCAAAATGGCAACGACACCATGGTGAAGAGCTGTGGTTCTATGATGTCACGAGCTGTGCGCTAGCAACCCACTGAGCACCCTAGCGAACCTACCAAAAACCCACACCGCAAGTCCCCACCAGCTATACTAGAACTATTTTGTGGGTGTACTTCTCTTTGCTACAGCGAGCATTCACCCACAAATACATCTTCAGGTTCCAGTCGCATTAACAGCTTTACATCACCTGAAAGTGAACATACCCACTATAGATAATGAGGTTTTGATGATGGTATAAAAAGAAAAGACAATCAAAGGCGCAAAAACAGACGCTTAACTTGGCACCAACTAAATTCTTTAGAAAATATACTTTGGTTCTAAACGACTTGAAACTCTCTGTCATTCAAATCCTTTGCTGTAAACCTCCATTAAAAATCTCCCTGAGGGACTGGACAACAATCAAAATGACTGGATTAAAACAGATAAGGAAGAGATGACTCATTGGAGGAAAACAAAAAATGGAGGTTTCAAGCAGCTGACTGACAGCCAGGCGTAGGAGCAGGGCCAGTGATGCAGCAGGAGCGGGGGCCCCTGGAGGCAGAGCCCTGCACGTTGTGGGATTCCCCGTGGCTCGCTCCTGTGGGGCCCCCGTTACCAGTCATCGCAAAAAACATTCCATCTTGGTCCATGTGCGCCGTTGAGCCTTGTAGGCAGAAAGCTTTGTTATGTGCAGCGACATTCATGCACGGTGTCTGCAGAGAGTGCGAGACAGAGAGGGAGGTGTGATGTCAGCGACATTCAGAGTTTTCACTTTGAATGACTTGAAAGCTGTGTGTTAACTTGGTATGGCGCTGTAAACCCAATGAACTTTGTCAGCTCTTCTTTCTCTATCATGCGCACACATATATGGGCCAAAGCAGAAGTCTGTGGTTATTGAAAACTGCCCGGGATAACAATCCAGCGACCGTCGCAAATGATAGGGGCTGGTTTTTATGATGACACACACATCACCACACACACATAAAGCAAAACAGAATAAAACACCTCTTCTTTGTCAAGTGGATAAACGCAATGAGCGACTAATTTTAACTGCTGCGCTGATGGGTCGTCGTCAGATGTTACAGACACACAACAACGGAAAAACAAAGACAGACACAATTTACAGAACAACAACAACAAAACAAGACAATACAGCACAAAACAAACACAAACAGAAACGAGACAATAAAGTTTACACAGAAGAGCCAGTACACAGTGGTTACGAACAAACAAAACAGCAACAAAGATTGAACATGTGTAAAAACTCTAAACACAGACTCTTGACTAGACATAGAGGTTGGGTCAGGTCATCCTTCGAGTTCTCCTTCTGTCTCTCAGGAGTTTCATCACAAGACTCAAACTGTGGTCACCTTTGTGCAAAGGTGGAGCAACAGTGGGGCAACACTGCTAGTACTGTAGGATACAGTCTGAGGTGCTCTGTGTGGCTCACACCTTAAATATTGTACTTTCTTACACCACAACATTTGTCTGAGGCATAGGTGGAGGTTCACAGGGGTTGGTCTTCTTCTCTGGTGGGGTAGTCAGGGAAAAAGTTACAACGCAGCAAGTGCATGTTGAGTGTAATGGACTAGACATTTGTACTTTTACACTACATTTTTCACTGTCATAACATTATAGTCACCATTACATATACAATCACAAACAGTACAACAAAAGGTGAAATTTGTCCTCTGCATTCAACCGCCCGCGGATCAATTCAAGGGTGATGACTGGAGAAATAAACCTAACATGGAAACCCACGCAGCAAATTCCTCCCCCAGGACCTTCTCGTGGCAGCCGCTCAACCACTGGTCCACGTTGCCGCCAATATACAGCTCTGTAGTGTATTTAATAGAAATATTTTTATTCAAGACTGAAGTCTGAATCTCTTTTTGTTCTCAGGGTGCGAGTCCTCCCTCTGGGCATTGATGCACAGGCCGCAGGCAGGGGGTGGCCAGTGGTGGCTCCCCTATGTACAGCACCATATTTTGCATAATTTTTTTCTCATGCTGAACCATTATTTTTCTGCCGCAGCTCCACATGAGATGCTATTTAGCACAGCACCCATCTCACAGAACTGTTCAACCCACTTGCTGCTGCAGTCTGGGGGGAGATCAAACACATGCTGTTACTGAGTCTTGCTGAGTTTTGTTCCACACAGAAATGAATGGGAAGCACAAGCTACAAAAGAAGTGAAAGCTGCTGATGATGATAAATAAAATGACACTGTTGTTTGTCTTCTTTCCTGCACATCCACAAGATCGGGGGTGTTATTATTAGAAGCACACATTTTGGTCATAAGCAAACAAACATCATAATCTAACCACCATGCAGCATTATAGATACTAATTTCTGTGCCACTCCAAGGCCTCAGCCTGGTCACCCATGAAAAGTAGATACTTTGGAGATTAAGATGTTACATAAAGATCACTAAATAAGTAAAAAACTAAACTATGACTAACTAAACAATAATAAAACACATATTATTCTCTGAAAAGGAACTTTTTCAAGTTGTAACACCTGGATTTCCTCCAACAGCCTTGTGTGACGACCCTCGGCCCCTTCATGCTACTGCTTGCACACTACATAGATGTTTCAGAGGTTTGTTTCTTCCTAATCAATGTATTTTCTTCTCTCTGATGGTAAATTCAAACAGATAAATGTTTGCGCTATAGTGGTTTGCTTTTATAGGTATTTATCATGGCTGACACTGTGAGGTCACTTGTCGGTCCCAGACAACCCTTCGACCAAAGTTCATTTATGTGAAACACAAGGCTGTTCAGGCTAAACGTGTTTTAACCTAACTAACTAACTGACAGCCAAATGTGATGGAGATAAAAAGTCACCAAGCACATTCATGTAAAAGAAATTCACAGTGTTTATGGAACCATATTTATGGAATTTGTTTTTCCATGAGCTAAATTTGCATAAAGCGTATCTTATTTGCACAAACCTGACCTGCTACTGCCTCTTTCTTTACAGTTAGTACAAATGTGAATGCAAGACCTTTCTAAAATTACACACACACATATTATATTTTAAGCCTGGTTCTATTTTTCTGACCAGATATGTTTAAAAATGGCTGTTTTTAGTCATAAAATACATTGAAATGAAAGGAAATTACACTATTTCCTCATCAGAAAACAGTATAGAAGTCTTTGAACAACATTTTGAAGAAATTAAAATAAAATTGAACAGTTTAATGACTTTAAATGCTCAGGAAAGTTTGGTTTGGACTCATGACCCCAGGATCCAGAGTACAGCCCCGCTTTTATTGGAATA